ACCAGGTTGTCAATGGCATTTTCTCGCGCATTATACACGTCATTACCGCCATGAGCCAACGCAAAATTATCCCTGCCAGGCAACATCATTTTCACCACATTTTCGGCAGCCCTTGGCGGTCGTGGCCTGTTCTGGTATGAGTCTTCAAACTGGGCGTTTGCAGTGGCATTTTCTTCACTTTTTATTGGGCCAGACGGATGCCGGGCATCACTCTGCCTGTATGATTGTTTCTGATTCAGTTGCCATTGCTGGTTTGGGGGATTGTTGTTGTTTATTTCCTGGGGTTTCCCCCATGCAACATTCTTATCCTCCGGCGTCGCAACAGGCAAAGAAAATGGATCATTACCAGACCACTCACCTCTTCTCATTCCCTCGTGCGTCAACTCGGGTGGTGGCGGTCTACCCACACGTTCATGGTACAACAGTCGGTTTTGGTGTGACACAAGCCGGCTTAACTCCAGCTCCCTCCTATCGCGCTCCGCGGCAAGTATCTGTTGCTCTATTTCAATCTCCTTCTTGCGAATATTTACCTCACGCTCCTTTGCGCGCTGCTCGTACTCCTCCCGTTCCTTCGCCAGACGCTCCTTCTCTGCCTCGTACTCTGCCCGTTCTTGTTCTAACGACGCCCTGCGTCGCTCGTTGTCAAGTTTTTGCAGAGCGACTGCCCGAGTGGCTTCCTCTTCCGCCTTGAGTTGTTCGCGTCGTGCCGCTAAGTCCGCCGCACGCCGAGCCGCACGCTGTGCTTCCCTCTCTCGCAACTGAGTCAGCCGCCGTTTTTGCTTCTCGGCAACTTCCTCCTGCAGACGGAGCCTTGCCAGCTCCCGCTCTGCCTTTTCCTTTTCCCGCGCAATCTTCATTTTCTTCTTCTCTGCTGCCTCAACTTGATCCTGCAGTTGGTCAATTTTTACCTGAAGTGTGTTGTCGTATCCCAGAACCTCGTCGCCAAGAATTTCCTCCTGCTGCCGGATCGTTTGGTACTCCAGTGCTTGCCGGTGGGGCGAGACAAAGGATGCCGTGTGGTCTGTCGTCGGGTCAACATTGGCACGATGTTCCACAGTAAGCGTGGAACCATTCATAATACCGTAGGCGGCGCACACTTCATCGTCCCGGGTGAGCGGGGTGCCGTTAAACTTGATGACTTGGTCGGCAACGGGAACCGAATACGAGGAGGCCGTGGCAAGGCACTGCTTCAGTCGTCCAATCGTCAGCCGTCCAATGTCCCCTTTAATGTTGATACGAAATCGTTTCCCATCGTCTGGGCTGATGACGGTAAGAACATCGTTGGCGTTCATGGGATCCTTCTTCGCAGGCACCGGTTCCAAAGTGAGCCACCCACCGGGAAGCAATTTCCCTCCACGCACTTTTCGCTCAACTTTTCTATTGTTGCTGAAAAATAAAGCCAAAGTGGCAAAAAGAAAAAAAAAACCGTACGTACAAAAAGCATACCTCAGCCACTTCCCCATTTAAAACAAAAGTGACAGAAAATAACATATCATCTCGTATGCTGCCTGGAAGTTCCACCCTCAGCTCTTCCTCAATTATGCATCCTCTTACTCTCCGTCACTTCTTCGACGCTCATAATAATAATGAATCCATGAAATGGCATGCCTCACTTCGCACTCAACGCCACAAAAGAAAGGCCTCCATTTGTTGACGTGTGTCGTCCGTAAAGAAACACCCAGTACGCTGGCTCCGATAAGGCAGGGGACGTCCATCACTTGCTTTGGATGATGCCTCCAGCAGTTGAGCCAAATGCCGTCCTTCACGTGTAAGGCCAATGGAGGACCATGAAGATACGGTATCGATTGCGGGTACACAAAAGTACCGCGGGAAACATGACACAAGAAGAGGTATCATCGCCAGGTCGCCAATGTAATCACGAACGTACGTCCGGCTTGCAGGTTGAAGAGTCTGGCGAAGGGGTACAAAGGAGAGGAAGCAATTATTATCATCACCGTCAGCAACTTGCTCATCATCATCAATAACCTCAAGTCCAATCTCCTCGGCATGACGCAGCTGCTCGCGATGTAGGCAGCACAAAATTTCTAGCACAAGCTTTGCGGGAAGAAGCCTCCGGTACACGAGTGGTGGTTCCTCCGACAGTGTACGAGGACGAACAAACGGTAATTGTAAAGATAAATTTTTGTCGTAAAAACCCTCCACGTACTTGTTAAACACTATTAGCTCCTGCTGTGCTTCCCTGTTATTGTCACCACTGCTGTTATTACTGTTTTGCTCAATGATATTCCCATGGCTTCTACTGGATTGTCCATATGGGAAAAAAAGGCACGCAACGCTCTCTTCTATCTCATGTTGAATAAGTGGCGGGACACGACCTTGCACGCCTCTAAGAAGGATGTCATGCAACTTTTCATGTTGTCGTGGAGTAAGTTGTCGCAAAAGATGCTGTACGAAGGCACTATTGGCAGAAACGCCAACGGGGTAACTCGTTTCCTTCAATGAAATAACGGGAGTTGAGTCATATGGCATCCATTGTGCTGGCGTTGCCGCCAACTCTTCATAGACGGCCGCGTGAACCCTGAGGAAGGCGTGGCCCCAAAGCTCCTCCTCGTGCCTTTCCGCTCCATTTGTGGCTTCCCCCTCAGTAATGCCATATTCTACGGGATGAATGTGGGATGGCCACGGCCACCATTTCCTTCTCCATTGTGGCATCACGGTTGCATCAAGCTCCGCTTGCAAGTCTAAAAGCAAAAGGCGCAGTGGCATTTTCTCCCCTGTAGGTGAAATGGGCGTTGAAGCCGCGGCTTTGTTACTCGTTCTTATCCGCCGAAGAAATAACAGACCCATCTCCACCGGGAGACTACTCATCGCTGTGGTGGACCGCTGCTGCTGCCGCCTTTTACGCTGGCATTGCGGCGGAAGTGGACGTCCCAAGCAAAATTCCACGCCCAATGCACGGAGCGCCGAAAATAGAGGGCCATCACAAAGTTGGGGCAAATCATTGTAATCAAAAGCCAAAAGAGGGGCAAGGCTCGGATACTTTTCCACCGCACGATTACGTACGGCGACAAAATCGACAAATCCATCTTCCGTGTCTGCCACCGCGGAGGAAACGTCATTCCCCCCATTATTTGTGTTAATGACGGTCCTTGTCAGTGGAACAAACTCCAAAAAGGGTATCAGGCGCTGCGAAAGCCGATACCGCTCAATCGCAGTCGGTGCAATAAATCGCTTCCCCATGTGTACAACGGTGTCATTCTCGCCAGATGCAAAATGAACAGATAACTGGCCAGGCCCCGTTGTCACAGTCGTTTCTGTGCTATTGGTCCCTTCTGGAATGTTATTTACCTGTGTAGTTGATGCCACAAGTTCTTGTGCCTGCTCTCGCGTGGCTGCTGTTGTATTCAAAGAAACTGCATGCAAAACGCTTTCCCCACCTCCTACAGAAGGCTCTAACAGTTGCACCATTGTGCCATTCTTCGTCAGGAAAAAAACGCTGTGCGTGTAAACCAAAAGCAGGCGCCTGACATCATTGGCAAGCTCGTGGCGTACAAAAGCAACGTTGGCTGGGCTTAGAGACATACGCCGGATGACCGTCAGCGGCACCGCCTTCCTCACAGTACCGTTTTGTGGTTCCAACGAGAAAAGGAACGCCGCAATTTCAACTGCCAACTCCCGAACGCCTGGTCTAATACGAAGAAAAAATGTCTCACCATCGTCTCTACTTGCTCCCTCGCGTTGAGAATTTCTGCGCCGCGTGGATGTTAGGTGGAAGACGCCAGAACTCTGAATCCGACTCGCAATTTGCCGCCTATTCTTATCGGCATCAGCACTGTTATCCGAAAAACGCACCACTTTGGAGGCATCGCCGTCACCGCGAGTGAGACCGGCTGGGAGTAGACGCAGCAGCAGCGACTCAAATTGTTCCTCAACGTATTCCAGTGGAACAGGGGGATAGAATGGAACGTTAACATCGGTCCCTCCGCCTTTATTCATGTTGCTTATTGTCGCTGTTTTCGTCGCATTACAGTTTTGAAGGTGTTTTTGGTACGCAACAAACACTTCCACCAAGGCACGAATGATATCCTCCACGTCAAGCAATGGCCGCTGCGACGCCAACGGCGGCTCCGGGTAAATGTGTGAAGATGAGGCTCTCAGTTTCTGCTGCTGCTTCTGAGCTGGCGGCGGTGGCGGCGGCATGCGCTTCACAGAGGACACTGCGGGCTTTCCCGCTTTCTCATTCTTCACACCACCGCTCACTATGCACCGCGTTGACGTGTGCCACGAGGCCCGGTGAATATGAGAAGATGCCGCAACGGTGACGCCACCAAACAAAAAACATCCAACCCGTGACGCCTTTTTCCTTAAAAAGCTACCAGTCCTCATGCTTTCGCTAAAATTTGCTTCCCCTCCCCGCAAGAGTGCAGGCGCTGTTTTAAAAAACTGCCCACGCTGGCCAAGTTACAATCTTGCAAAAAAGTTACCTTTCCCCCGCCCCCACCCCCACCCCTACAACAAAAAAAAAAAAAAAAAAAAACAGGCATTATATGTATGCGTATGCAGAAATTTATGTACAATTGAATAATTGGACGTGAAAAAACAAAAATGAGACAATAATACCCACGCTGAACCAAACTACATACCAACAACAGCAAACAAAAAAAGCTTTCTCAATGTCAACGATTTCAGCAAAAAATAAATGCATCACAAAAACGCGCTGAAACGCAATAAAAACAAGCTCAGCGGACAAGTAGCTCGCAAAGAACCGGAGGGTAAGGCTGCTCTGGTGTGTCTGTCACTGCCGATGATAAAATGGTGGATGAGTTCGGTGGCAAGGGCTGCGTTTTCCCCGGTTGCAATGGCCATAACAGAGTTGCGGGTGCCCTCGCGTCACAGAGCTCCAACCCACCCTGTAACACGAGCCAGCCGGGCTGCCACGGCAGAAGCGAAACAGGAAAATTTATGGTTCCGCGTGGTTCAATGAGGCCTAAAGGAATAAGTAGTGGACCCGCATACAGGAAGGACGGCGCTAGAAGATCGGGACGAACGCGAAGAGCCAAATCAAACTGTTTATCCGAGTCATAATTCACAACGACGCAATCAAATGTTGTGGGCTTTCCGGCAGTAGGTGTCTCTGGATCCACGTTGAGTACAAAAAAATCCAGCATTGGCTGCATAAAAAGGTGGTCCACCCGCACCCGACTGCTATGCTCTGCCCCACCATCACCGTTAGCACGACACCACTTCCACTCCACATACCCAACATCTGTAAAGTTTGAAGGAACAACTGCCGCAGGAGCACCAGTTGCAGTGTGTTGCAGTGGAAGAGAGCAAAGTATATCCGGCTTCAACACCAGTTCAAAGTAATAGCAATGCTTGTCCTTTGGGCGCAAATAAACGCTTTCCAGAGCGTCGGCTCCACCGCCAGTGTAGTGCGTACCAAACTCCCTTTCATCTTGCCTCGGTTTCGCTACATTGGCAGGCCACCATGGCGGTAATGAAGATTCCGTTTTCGTGGATGGGCGGCGCGGCCGTGGCAAAAGCTGAAAAACGCCCTCTGTGTGTAGTTTTACGCTCACAATAAACAAAGGTACGGATGACACGTTTTGCAAGCAAACTGATAAAACATATTTTTTGGTTGGCAGAGTGATATTTGACATCGCTTCCTCAAGAGTTGGACCTGCAGCACGCAGCTGAGCATGCGTGTCCTTGCCGTGCCGAGTTATAATGGGGACAACATGAATGGTCCGACTCACTTCAATTATGGCGCGCTCCACCTGGATGCTAAAAGACCAAGTTAGACGTTTTGCCTCCTTGGCGATATCCATGTATGTCACCAGCACATCGAGTGTGTACTGGCCTGGTTCTTTGAGCAAACACTCCACCGTAAATGACGCATTTCCTTTCCCTTCTAGGTGCGAGCACTCGTAATTCACAATCTTTGAACGATGCAATGTCGGGTGCAGGCACACAATGGAAAACACCATGGTAGCCAGCGGGTAAGTGGCAGCGTTGTGGAAGCTTAAAAAGGCGCGGAAAGGTTGTCCAACAAAAAACTTTCCAAGCGAGGTGGGAAGTGAAAGAACAGTGCCAATGCCGTGCACCGAAAGTTCTGCCGCCTTGCTGCGTCGCCGCACCTTGGTCTGGGCGTCGTTGGCCATACAATTGGCAGAGGGATAATGAAGTGGGTTGCTAAGAACATCAAAAAGAACGTCGCCTTCCTCTACCAATTCGGGTGACGCCGCTTCAAAAAACTCCGGCCTACGCAACACCGTTGCCCGAACAGTAAGCGGGTTTGCAAGCATGGCAGGGGAAAAACTCGTTGCGGAGTACACCGATTGTTTCCCGCCACTATTTGTCTTTGATTCACCTGCAGTTGGGGACGCCATGTCGTTGCGCGATGAAATTCCTTTTGAGGCAATGAATGCCACGGAAAAAAAAAAAAAAAGAACCATTTAAAAAAAAAACGGCGTAAAAAACGTTATACCTGCCTTCCCACTCCCCTTAGGAGCATGCAACATAAGGGTGGCAGAAGGGAATGGCCTCAGACAGTTGCAAGCCATTGATTTCCACACAGCCCAACTCTGAACTGGCCAAATTTGATATGAAAAGTGCAGAAACTGATTAAAAAAGAATAGCAAACACACACACACACACACACACAAACAAACAAACAAACAAACAAACAAACAAGAAAGCCCCCTTCTCCTTTTTGTTTTTGTTTTTGTTGAAGCGTAAACCCTTTAACGGCGCCCATGAAGGATTATTGGATTAGCCACGCAAATAACTCTCCCCTTCAAGCCGGTGTTTTAAAAGAGACAAAATACGGCTTTGCTACCAATCATCATCGTCATCATCGTCAACGCGCCTCGGAATCAACTTGCCCGTGGCAGACGGTGGAAGAGGCGGAGTTGATTTTGGAACGGAGACTAGCGGCGCCGTTGATGCTTGGGAAGCTGATTCTTTAACGCCCCTCATTCCCTTTGAAGGGGCTGACTGAGGTACGTCGTCATCCTCATCTTCATCGGAGTGCATTCCCAGAATGCCCTTCCGGCGATTAGCAAGAAGAGAAGACAATGTATCCAAGTTGCTCCTCGGAGCCAATTTGGGTGCCGGCCGAGGATCTGCCTTGGACGGTGCTCTCGTGACAGCATTCTTCCTTGGGGGTGGTGGTGGGGGCAGTGGCGGTGCGGGAGGCGGGTTACCAAGCTTGGGAAGACTCCTGGCTGCCGGTGGTCCAGGTGCTATTGGCGATATTGGCAAAGGCGCTGCCTCTGCTGATAGTGGAGGAGGTGGTGGCGGGATCGCCGTCATCGTTCTTGCCGGTTGAACTGCTGTCTTCATCATCATCGCCGGTGGTGGTGGCGGTGGTGGCGGTGGTGGCGGTGGAGCCTTCATGCTCTTAAAGCCGGGCGGTGGTGGTGGTGGTGGCGGCGCCTTCCCTGCAGGTGGCGGCGGTGGCGGTGGCGGCGGTGCTTCAAGCGCAGAAGAAGGATTAATCAACGACGTCGTTGGTGTTTCTGCCGGACCGAGGGTGATTGCTAGTGTCTGTCCATGGGCCTTTTTCCCGCCGCGTAAGGGGCCCGCGTTCTCTGTTGCCACTTCACTCTCATCGCCGAGTCGCCGCTGCCAGCTGGGAGCGATATTATCCGCGGCTTCCAGTGCGTAGGCGTGCCAGGCAACTTCAGCGATGCCTTCCAGTGGTAAGTCCTCGGGGAGGTCATCCATGAGGTTTGCCACCTCTTCCATAAGCGGAATAAAGGCATACTCATCGGAAGAAAGTCGCGTCATGTAATCCCGGTGCACATCTGCTGCCCCACCGAGCCGCCGCTTGGCAGCCACCACACGCTCCTCCCTCTGCTGTTTCAGGACATCCAACTCGTGGTACTCTTTGTAAAGGTTTTCTCGAGTGTTAAAAAGCAGCAATGAGCCCACGCTCATCAGCTGCCGCGGTAGACGACCAAGCCCCCGTTCTGCTACGGTGTGATACCGCCAAGATGCTGCCAGCGGCATGACGTCACTCAACTCCACGCGCTGCAGAGGGTGCTGCGGTCTCACCGGCTCTTGCTCTTCCACCGTCCCCTCGAGTCGTCGAATGGGTCGCTGGTAAAAGTTTTTGCACTCCAGATTGCCACGCTTCCCTTGGCCAGAGACACCATTGCTCTCGCCATTATTGAGAGCAGCGTTCCCTTCATTCTCCAAAACATATTCCGAGTCACTGTCTGACTCATCAACGGGGAGCAAAACAGGCATGACGTCTTGCCGGTGTCGCAAAAATCTCCCTCGTCTTTCCCTTGGGGCCTGGGCAAGGTGCATGGGACGATAGCAACCATTAGGAAACCGAGACCGACTCTTCACTACCATCGCCTCGCGTCGTCCCTGCAGTTGTTTGACACGTGCGGTGCATGTTTCAATACGCTCCTGAAGTCCCTCTAATGTCTCCCGGGAATTCCGCACTGCGGCTTCGATGTTTCCAAACACACAGTTAGATATTTGATCAAGTTCTTCAAGGGCATGAATAACAGAGAGCATCGTCACACAGTCGCCGTTTGTAAGCGGAACAGGCACCACATACCCACACACCGTTGTCGCAGAATCATTGTACATGGCTGCTGGCATATTCTAAGAAAAACACTTGGAGATACTCACCTCCCCAGAACTGAGGTATCACACAGCTCTTTTCTTCCTAAATTCACAAGAACAAATCAAAAAAGGAAGCGAAATTGCTGGCCGCCGTAGGGGAATTAGTCCACACCACCAAGAAACTACCAACAAAAAACGGCAAAATGAGCCCAAGAAAAAATCAACGCAAAAAACAAAAAAAAGATGCTTAAAAGCTGAAACAGAAAAGTATCAAATATGAAAAAGAAGGTGGTTTTGTTCACGCCAGCAGATTGTACTGGGTGATCTTGCCCTTGGGGACAATGAGCTTGACGTGCGTGCCACGCTGCTGCAGCTTGCCGGCGTCGCGCAGCTCCTCGTACTTGGAGCGGAGAATGTCGGTGAAGCCCCAGTACTTGGACATGACGATGATCTGACGTCCGGGAAACTTCATCTTGGCACGGCGGAGAGACTCCAGCGCCTGCGGAATGTAGGCCTCCCTCGTGCGCATCGACAGGAGGATCTGGCCAATGCGAACACGAGCGCAGGTGCCATTCGGCTTACCGTACGAGTGACGCATGCCCGTCTGCAGACGATCGGCACCAGCGCAGGAAAGCATCTTGTTGATACGGAGCACGTGGAACGGGTGGGCACGGATGCGCATGTGGAACACCTCCTTGTTGGCACGCTTCACCATGTACTTGTTGGCCTGAATACGGGCAGCCTCCAGCGCCTCCGAGGAAATCTGCTCCAGTTCGCGGGAAACCACGTGGATGCACACGGGGAACTCGTCCACCGTGGCACGGCGCTTGCCAATGTCAAAGTTGCGGATCTTCGGGTCGGGCACACCACGGCAGAAACGCGACTTTGGGAACGGCTTGTTCTTGCAGAAGCGGTAGCAGCGTGAGGGGCGGCGGGCCATGATGAAGCTCTGTGGACAAACCACCTGCAGAGATTGTGTGTGGATAGGCGAAAGAAGAAGAAAAGGGAAGTGGCAGCAGCAGTCAAGAAAAAAAATAACAAGAATAAGAGTAATAATGAGCAGCATAACAAAAAAAAATGGCACTGTGAAGAAAAGTCGCCGACACCTTCAATGCGACTAGGGATAAATCTCCACAGCGAGTCATTTGGTCAAATCTCCTTTTCGTTTTTTAAATAAATAAATAAATAAACAATAATAAAGAAAGAAAATAACAAAAAAAAAAAATTAGCAATGGCTTTACCTTACACACAATTTCCCTTATCTTGTAATCCGATCCAGCCGGAATTATTTCACATCGTTAGCTCCAAAATGGCGTTCACGATGTCACCCTTGTTGTTTTTGAGAGCCCGGATGGCCCCTGCACGATCTGTATTTCCCTGGCTCATCACAACCTTGATTTCCCTTTCGTCCAATTCACCACCGTCTTCGGCGTCGGCGTCGTCAGTCTTCTCGGCGGGAACAGGGGTCTCAGGAGTCTCAGCCGTGGTGGGCACCTCCTCAACACGTGACTCGGTCTCCGGAACGACACCAGAGACGGCGCGGGCAGCAGCCTCTTGAGCCTCCATTGCGGTGTCGCCAAGCTGAGCCTCACCAAAGACAAGAAACGTGTTTGTGCCAGGGAAACGGTAGAGCTCCGGCTGGTTCACCAGGAAGGAGAGAGATCCGTGCTTGCGGATGTGCACCTTAACAACGTTAGGCTCCGGCTTAAGCCCCATCTTTGCCATGGCCTTTGCGTAGCGCTTGGTTTGCTTGGCGACCTGTGGGACTTCCGCAGCCTCCAGGGTAGGAACCTCGTCGTCCTCCACCGGGGGGTTCTGCACTTGCGGGGTAGACATTATCTGTTGGCAGTGTGTTAGCAGCGAAGCACTACAAAGCGAGGGATACAAGCAATAGAAAGAGTGAAGGAGGGAGAGTGTGAGAGAAAAGAAATACACTCCAGACTGCCATCCGAAACCCGGAGTAAAAAAAAAAAAAAAAGGCAAAACACAAAACACACACGCCGGTTGACAACCCAAACGCGAAGCAAAGGAAAACGGAAAGAATACCTAAGAAAAGCCCGAAGATGGATTTATAAACCACATCCACCAGCTCACCACCACTGTTTTGCCGCCCCCAAATAACTGTTCGTCACCAACTGACTACTTCCCGATCAAATCCCCTGATACGTCGTTTTAAGATGTGGCGGGTCCGGCGCCCACTCCCCGCGATACGCTTCGGAGCTCCCTGCCGCGGTTTCTCCCCTTCCCCCATTCTTCGCGTAATTATTCCACATAAAGTTGTACTTAAATCCGCCACGGTCAAACGCGTCATCACCTCCTGGTGCCAAACTCCCGTCATCTTCTGCCACATCCATTGTGGAAACATCTCCAAAGAGGAGTTCTGCATTGTAGAAAATACAGCTGGGTAACAACACGGCCAATGCGAGCGTCACTTCCAAAGGAAGAAGCGCAACAGCCGCTGAGGGGTGCAGAGAAACCGCCTTGTGATTCTGCTCAGCTTCACACTTCGCCGCCAACATGCACGCCATAAAAAGAAGACTGGCGTAACCCATGGCGGCCGCCAGCGCACGGCACAGTCGGCTCAGGAGACATGACTGCCCCTCCACTGTTCCCGCAAAAAATCTTCGTGCGGCAGAAACAAGTGTCATGCACCCAAAGTACAAAATAAGAGGCGTAAAAACTATCCAGAAGGAAATCAGTTTTGATGTGTCTTCCCCTCCTGTTTGCGCCGCGCGTAGCAAGGCAAGACTAATAAAGCTGAAACAACACAACTTTTCAAATACTGTTTCCAACAAAAAACCCCAGTACATCCGTGATAGGCATACAGACGAACCTGGAGGAATGAATTCAGCAAATCCATTTCGAAACTGAAAAGGAAGAAGGTAACGTAAAATAAAACAGCTCTGAAACACGTATATTGCTGCACTCGGAGCTAACGCAATGGTCCATGTGAGAGCACCAGAAAGTCCGACTACAAACATCGCAACCGCAAAAGTAACAAGAAAACACATAAGCCCCAGCAGTGTAGAGGCAATTTCTCGCCTGGTGACGCCATGAAAAACTAACAATCCGCCAATTAGAAGCAATGGAACAAGTGCTACCCACACCGGAGCGAACACAGCTGCCCAGGGCCAGCCTTTGTTGTAGTCTAATCGTACAATTGCAAGTACCAATGTGAGCAACCACAGCAGCATCCAAAAAGCAATAATAAAAAATGCACAACGAATACCGGCAGTGGTCATCACCACCATCCCGTCTCCAAACTGTCGGAGAGACTCTATGCCCATTCTGCCAAATGTATCGTACACACGTCGCTGCCTTGGATCGCTAAGGATGGACTGTGCCTCTTGGATCAATGTGAACTGCTCCGTGGTTGTCCCACCAGTTTTGTCTGGATGAAGACGAAGTGCCAGCCGGTGATACGCCTTCTTGATCTCTTGAGGCGTCGCGTCTCTGGCCACTTCCAGCACGGCGTAAAGTGACCCGCTGCAGGTACGCTGAAGCATTTTATTATTATTATTTTTTTTTCCCCTAAGCTCACACCGCAATCTCAGGATAAGAAGTCCGATTCCACTTATCCACAAATAAATATGAATGTTCCTGCACAATGATCACGGTTTTGGTGAACGCACCTCCTTTAAAGACGCCCTGCGGTTTTCATGCAACAACAACAACAAATAAATAAAATAAAATAAAATAAAATGAAAAAAAAAAAAAATCAAATGAAAGAGGAAAGAAAAAATAAAAATAAAAATGCACATTATGGGTGCTTGTACAAAGTAAGGGAAATAAAAGAAATATTTACAACAACAAAAAAAAAAAAAAAAAAAAAGGAAGGCACTCGGCACAGAAGCACGCATTTATTTCATTTCTTCTCACTGACTGTTTTTCGTCCCCTATCGCTCGAGTGGCAAATGGCAAAACTATTCACACATGCATAAATAACGCTTTCCTTTTACGGTAAAAAAAAAAAAAAAAAAAACGGTAACAGCGGCCAGAACAACACTGTGTGTGGAAGACGCCCTCCCTCCCCTCCACCCCATCGCCATCATCACTGAGAACCAAGCAGATGAAAAATTGAATGAACTAAACGAAAAAGAAAGAAAAAGAAGGGGGAGGGGAGGGAGGGGGGAGGGGGGGCAAAAAGAAGATGAAACAATAAAAATGAACAGAAAAGAAATTCACACACAAATACATGTACATACATACATACATACATATAATGATTATGCGTATATGCAGGTGTATTATATATATGTGTGTATATCTTGCAAACTTATGCATATGCGCTTTTACTTAAAGTACCGTCACAATTAAAATATATATATATACATGTATAAATATATATATATTAACTTTTGTCTTTTGTATTCATGCGCATTTCCCATTGTAAGTAGTGGTGGTAGTGGTAGTATCTTTTTTCTTTTCACTTTCTTTTCATTTTTCTCAGCAAATATTCAATGTTCGTTGCAGAACAGAAAAAGCACCAAATTTTCCGAATTTTCATCACCACTAGCTGTATATTTTTACAAATATTCTAATTTCAGCAGTCAAAAGACTTAATAATCGGGGGGGATGGGGCGTTATACCGTTGAATGAATATTTTATTTATTCACACAGGGTAGAGGGGAACCCCCGTTCTTCTTGTTTGTTTGTTTCTCTATTGTAGGGGCCCCTTTATTTGGCGGCATTGCTCCCCGTTCGCCGGTAGCGCACTTATTTTGTTCTGGGGGTTGGGGAGACATCGAGACGTTGTTGAGGAAAAAAAATCAAGGGAATTTGGATTCTTTTAATGCCGTATCGTGACGATTTGGTTGCAAACGCTTAGAGGCACGAACCGATTTCCCACCTTTTGCCGCGGGTGGTGCATTACGCGGTTTGGGGCGTGTTTTTTTTTCCAACTGGGATGGAGGAACGGACGCCACTCGATCTGCCACAGAAGCTTGGTCCCTCCCCACAATATGAGGCACGGAAACAGAAGACTCCAACTTGTCCAGCGATTCTACTGGTAGTGCAGAAGCAATGCAATCAGCTGGAGTGCCTTCAACTTCATGCATGGAAGATATTACATCTTGCGACACGATGCCCGTTTCATCTTTTTGGATCCGAGAGAATGAAACGGGAGGAGTGGCAGGAGAATCCGACATTATACTCGTTTTTAGCTCCTGTATTTCTTTATGATGTCCGGCTTCAGCTTCCAACTCACCCGCCCCATCCAAGCGAAGTGAATGCATTCTCTTCTCATCCACCTCCCCCCCGTTGACATCATCCTCATCCAACAGGAGAGATTCTCGGGGCGTGCTGTCCGACGGCTTTGGTTCCATTTTTCCGCCTTTCTTCCCTGGAGCAGCAGCAGCAGCAGCAGTGAAAGTAAAGGCAGCATTTAATTTGTTCACCTCCTCATTACGAGGTTCTTCACTATAAGACGCAAATAAACTTTTGCCTTCACACTCAAAATGTGGCATCATTTGAACACTGTCACCCGTATTCCCCAAAGAATGTGGTTCACTCTTCTCCGGCAAAAGTGACTGATCCCCCCGCAAACCTGAAAGAATTGACTCCTCCATATTCAATCTGGAGTATGGCGCGTCCTCTGGAAAAGCATGCGTCATACCCACACCTCCAATACCCCTATGAGAGAGACTCTTACTGATAAAATAATGCGCGCGGTGACGCCACCGTTTACCACTTGTTCCTATGATAATCTGTACACCCGTATATGATGACAATTCAGCAATAAATCGCTGCGTCGCATCCGATTCATCATTCTCTCTCACATCAATCATTTGAAGAGGGCGGGCAGATGATAATTGATCCTGCTCAATACTGTTAAGAAGCTCCAACAGGCATTTGCGAAGTCCCACCCGAGACATGTTGTTTTGCGAGAGAAGTACGTGTTGAAGGGATCTACAAAAGACAAACTCTGCCGTGTCGGAATCTGACAATGAGGTTTCATTAATGTCATCGTATGCACGAACACGAGTAAGGACACAACTGGAGGTTGACGTCTCCCCCGACATGAGCTTCTTTTGCATGTCCCCAGATGAAATGACAGATTGGTTGCTCGAACCACACAAAAACGAAACAGCCGAGTGGTAGTGCAACACGTGACCCATATGGTCAACAATGTCGCGCAAGAGCCACGGCCCGCTCACATCATCCAATAAGCCCTGCTGAATTTCCAAAAGAAAAAATTCATGCGGTATCCATGAGTGGGGCTTGTTTGGTGTGTTGGGTCGTGTGTCGACAAGATCGCCATCCAAAGACGACTCACCCTCCGTTCCCTGAGTCCAATCATCATGACAACTGGGGGCAACAAATTTCATGACAGCGACAAGTTTGGATAAAAAAATGGAGAAACTTTGCGTAAAAATATGTCGCTGCTCCGCCTCATATAAGCGCTGGCCGATGCAAACAGAGGGATCTACGACAAACCCTATCCGCCCCTTGCACCGTTTGCAGCGCAGTGCGTCGTGCAAAAAAGAAAACAGTGCCGCGTCTTCAAGGTCGAGAAAACTGAGAAAGTGAGGAGTTGTGTCCGTCACAATGGGTCGCACAGGCGACGGCGTCACTTCTTCTTTCGGAAATTCCGTCAGCATCTCCGGGTTAAGGCTCTCTCTGCATACAAGACGCAACTCCGTGTAGGACATCGGCAACGCATGATTCTTCTCTGCACCAAAAGAAGAGCCCCGCCTCTTCCAAGTCTCATGAATGACATGAGGCACTGGAGCACAGGCCTGTACTACAACCGAAAGGTCGCTTCCCATTTTGATTCCACTGTTACTGAGAGGAACCCACCGTCGTTCTTACAAATGAATAAATATATATATATTTCCCCCTCCCCTTCTTTATGTCCTCTGCTACACCGTGAGTCTTTTTTTTTTTCTTTTTTTCTTTTTGTACTTATTTTCACGTAAGGTTGGTTGGTTGGTTGGTTGGTAGGTAGGGGTTAGGGTTAGGGGAGAGGTTTCGCTGCGTATGTATAAATGTATAGGTATATATATATATATATATATACCGTTTTAAACTTCAAAAGTGCCAAAAAAAAAAAGAAAAAATACATATATATATTTTTTTTAAAGGGGTTTTCATGAACCATGCTTACAGAACAATACCATCATATTCCTTCGCTCTGATTCGCAAGGGGAACTCCTCTAAAAAAGAAAAAAAAAAGAAGACAATTGCACCAGATGGCATCTGGTGCAATTCTCGAGTAAAATTCTCTACATTTCCTCCCCTTCCTTCATCGTCTGTGGCAGAACACTAAAGCATATATTTCCGTTCGGTAAAATATGTATGACGTCCAAAACGTGAGCGCCCCTCTACTGGCTCCACAGGTGTCTTGCCGTGCACTGTCATTGTACATCCTGTTACGGGATTACCCGTATAAAGCGTGACAGGTTCATCAGAGAGATAATCATTACGTAGCTCATTGATGATTGGTAGCTCCTCTTCACGACAGTGCGATTTATGATACGTCGAGAGATAAATGCCACCTCCATCCTCTGCCAAGCGCGAGAGACGTGTCTGTTGTTCCCTGTCACATGCCTCTTTCTCTTCTTTCGCTGCTTTCAACGCAACTTCGAGGAGTGCACGGCTGCGTGCACCCATATCGGGGCGCCGCAGGCGTCGCACGTCACCGTTGGCCTCGCAGTAGTCATGGCGCTGTGTCGTCTGCAAAAGACGCAAATGAGGATTTCGCGCGTCGATCGTCAAGTAGGGTGTTGACTGATAACCACCGGCGTAGCGTCCATTTTTTCCCTCGCGTATGACATCCAGACTTGCCTGCAGCACCGCCGTTTGCACAAAATCGTCGGCCGGTACTGACCCCGGCAGAAGCGGTTGCTGCGCAAGAAGGTCGTCTTCTAGCGACTTCTCTTCCTGCCAATTACCGCAAAGAACCTTGCAAGCTTGTCGCTTATGGCTCTCGTGCCGCACCTTATTGTATCGCTTCTCCTCGATCCATGTCCCACCCGGGCTGCAGGTGTCGATGGGCACGTACGGCTTCTGACTGCGTGCGCTCACTCCCATTCCTTCACTTCGCCTTTCGGATTTGTCAATGCGCCGGCGTCTACACCCGCCCTTTGTTCCCTTCCCACCTCCTCGTTTCTCACAACAGCAGCCACGCAATAGAGCGAAACCAAAGAGAAAAATATTTATATATGGGACATCGTCGCAGACGCACACGCAGCAAAATGACGTTTGATCCCCAGCCCTTCCTTCTCTCCACACCCCTGCCTTTTTGCAAACGAGCCAAAGGCACAATGAAGTCATTATAATTTTTTTTTTCATTCCTTTACTGTGCCCCTCCTCATTACTACTTTGCCACTCCTTCCTCCAGACACACACACACACACACACAGAGAGAGAAAAGAAAAGAAAATCTTCCTCCCTCCTTTGCGGTTTTATACGTCTCTCACTCTTTTATGATTATTATTATTTATTTATTTATTTTATTTTATTATTTTTTTTTTTGTGTGTGTTTCTTTTGTTCTTTATCTTCCCTTTTTATTTTTGATTGATTTGGTGTTGGACGCACTGCGGGTAAGGGAATAGACACATAACCCTGTAAATGAGAGGGAAATGTAAAAATAATAGAGAAAAAGCACTGTACAATCCTTTCTCTCTCCCTCTCCCTCTCTCTCTCTCTCTCTGTCTCCTTCTCGTTTTTATCCCCATTCACCTTAAACGGTGGGTCGCGACCGGACTCAGCGAACCCACTTTGGCAGCTTCTTGTACGGGTTCGCTGCCTTCTTCTCCCGCAGCGGTTTCCCGCTTGCCGCTGCCCTGGCGCGTTTCGCCTCCACCCGGACGTTGACGAGCTCGCGGCCATCCTCCTTCTTCGCGATGCGGCCGTCCGCGACTTGTTTTGCCTTCGCCTCAAGCATCTTCTCACGCCGCTGACTGCCTTGCACGACACTGTTGACCATCTTGTAATACCGCGCTGCCTTCTTTCGGGCCACCTGCAGCTGCATCTTGCGCGTGGCCGCTTCCTGGCGCTTCATCTCCGCCAGCTTGCGCTTCAGACGCTGCCCCGATGGCTCCTGCTGCTGTCGTGACTCCCGCGACTTCAACTGAGCTAGACGCCGCCGTGCGACCACCTCGTCTGTGGGTGCATTCATTAGATTCATCTTGCGCTGCTTCGCCACCTTCAGTGCGGAAAGCTTGCTACGCTGCACATTCTCCGTGACTTCCTCCTCCTCCCACTTCGGGCGGTGACTGGCCTCCAGGAGCTCGTCGCCAGAGAGCGACACGTCGTCGTCGGCACCCAACTCCGGCACCAGTGCATGATCCTCATCGCTTTCATCGTGCAGCAACAAGTCGGATGCCTTTCCTTCTGGATCTAAAGGCGTGTACTGAGGGTTGACAAGAGCACGTATCTCATGCACCCGCTTCGGCACATAGGAGACTATCTTTGGATGATTCTTCTTCGCCTCCTCCACGGCGGCAATATCCTCGGGGCTGTTTGTAATGGCCACCGTAAAAGGAGAAACATGCGGCGGAAGCTCCTCACCAATACGATAGCCGTTGGGAGGAAGCAACATGCGTGCGTTGAGGCAATCAAACAGATATTGTGGCTGCACATACTCAATGCGATCCACACGCTCAAATCCGGGTGGTAGTGCAGGTCGATCAACTACAAAGTGTGTGATGTTGTCTGCCGCATAGGCCGTTGCCACGCGACCACCACACGCTTCAATTATAAGAGTGGCATGTTTATGCGGTACTTCACGCGAAATGTAAAATGTTAGCCCGTCAAACACGCGTCGTGCTTTCCGCAGCTCCTCCTGCATAAGTTCCCCCTTTTTAAGGGTATCCTTCTTTACATCACTAATTGACTGCGTCATTTCTTTATCAGGGAGGCGGAAGTCCTCAGCGTGTGTGTTATTTTCTTCATCCTCAGCCTCTTGCTGTTCCGCCACGTCGCGCTGAAGTTCGTGCTCTAGTTTGTACAAAACAAATTGCATAAGCTCAACGTAAAACTCAAGGAAACTGAGAGTAATATACTGCTGAATACCGGGCGGAAACTTGTGCGCGTACTCGTGGGGACACAACCAGCGCACCCGTTCCCCACGCACAATGGCTTCAAAGTAGTATCCCTTTATTGAAATAAATCCTTTTGACAACACCTGGGCCCGCGCAACGTAGCGATTCCACCGCGCAATAATTCCCCGTGCACGTTCATGTAAACCCGACGTTAATGCATGGTGTGTTTCGATGGTCGTTTCGCTCATCACTTCTGGACTTAGGAAAGCGTACAGGGCAATCATAGACATGGCGTCGTCAATGTCCCGTACGGCATCAATAAAAAAAGGGTACCGTTCCTTGATTGTTGCCACAAGACTGTATTGCGGCTTTGCTTTCTTGCTCCTCAGGACCTTAAGTTCATCAGCAAGACCCATCGCCTCCGCCCGGCGTACCTTCTTCTCCCACGCACGGTATGCCATCATGCGCTCGGCAACGTGATCCCGTACGAGCCACTTAATCTCCCGCGCGAGGTAGTACTGTTTGTCGTTGCCACTTTGTTTTTGTTTGCTGCGAGCGAGGGCACGAGGGTAAATGCCCTTAAGGATGCAGAGACGACGAAAGTGAACAGAGTCGACCTGCAGAAGGCGAGTTGCCTGCATGCGTGTGAGGAACTTCTTCTTTAAGCGTTCCTTCTTCACACGCTTCGCCCACACCTGCTTGCGGTGCATTTTTTATTTACGCTCTCTCTCTCTTCCCCCCTACTCGTTGATCTCTACGGCTACTGCGTTCAATGTAGCAAAGCAAAAATAATAATAATAATAATAATATATATATATATATATATATGCAACATATTCCGACAACCGGCATCAAGAGAAGGGTATACGCAAACGTATGTTCTTTTTGCTCAGCCATAGATTTTCTTTTCATTCCCTCTCCCTCCTGCGCGCCCTCGCAGCGTAAGACATACACAAACACACACACACACAAACAGAAAGACTACAACGTGCCCTTCTGTGCAGTAACATCTTCTTCAGTTTCTTCGTCCTCGTGCTGCTGTTCATCGTCGGTGTCACGCATGCATTGCGTGGAATCGCCCTCCTCGCTGCAAGCCTTCTCCATTCTCCACTGTGCCCGTTGCAGTTCCTCGAGTGCGGCACTCTCGATCCGCATGCGGCGATCGTGTTCGCATCCCGGATAGATGCCGTCCTCAAATTTTCGATCGAGTAACTGCGCATCCTCGACGTTGTCTGTGGTAAAGGTGTACGGCGGGGTGTAGGTGGTGTAAAGATACGTGCTGCGCGCCTCCAGCGACGGGTAGTCATCTGACCACTCACTCATTGTGCTGAATCCCTCCAGAGGGACCACATGATTCGTATCGGGAATGCGGCGTGTAAAGAGAACGCCGCTAAGGTGGTCCAGCTCGTGCAGCGCCATACGTGCCCTCATCTTCTCAAGCGTCACTTCAAACGGATGTCCGTCTGCTCCAATGGCTCGTATCCGCACGGTTGCCGGTCGCTCAATGTAATGCATAAGGAAGCAACAGCTCGCACAGGGCTCCCACGCAAAACATGTCTTTCCTTCACGACGGCAGCTCGCCACCCACTGCGCCTCCGCCTCGGCAATCGGCATCCCGCTACGACTTCCTGCCGCCTCCACTTCCAGTAGATCCAAATTGACAGGGTTGATGAAGACGCTTCCGTCAAAAAGAGTAAACATCTGAACGTTCCACCCAATCTGTGGGGCGCAAAGAGACGGGTACTGATAATATTGTCGAGCTGCTCGTACCCGCTCAATCATTTCCGCAAACCCACCACTACGTACCTGCGCAGGATCTAGCGGATACTGCTTGCACCACAAAGAACGCGCAGGTAGCTGCACAATTGGGTGCTCAACGTGCACCGTGTTTCCCGCCATGTAAGCAGCCTCCCCAGCAGCATTATTGTTGTCGTATGCTGTACGTGACGAGTTTAGTCGTGCAGAGCAGCGCAAGGCCGCACGTAATGCGGAGCGGCATGCATCATTCCGCCGGGGAAAAAGGCCCATTTTCCGGTAACTGCTGCAAAAAAAAGAGCAACGGATACAAGATCGAGTCCACATTGTCGTGCCCACCCTCAAACAAAACAGGAATCAGAGAATTACAAGGAGACGCAAACGCACGGTAGAGTCCGCCGCCTCAACCTATAAAAAAGGACACAAGGGGGAAAAAAAAAAAAAAAAAACATAACGTTCCAATCAATTTATGTGTGGCACTTCATCCACGCATTGCGTACACGCTCCCACATACATACATACACACGCACTCTCCGCTCACCTCCACTCTCTCGTTATATTCATATGATATACGGCGTACTCTCGGGCGCAAGATGAGAATGTGTCGAGCAAAAAACTCTGTTAGACACACATACATAGATGTATATAGATGTATATATATATTACCAAACTGTTCCTTTTTTTTTTCTTTTTCTTTTCGTTTCATTGCTGTTTTCTGGATTTTCTGACTCTTTTTGTCCCGCCCCTTTTCATCTGTTTTTGTTTTTGTTTTTGTTTTTCGTTTGTGCTAATGTTAGAAGTCGCCACCTTCTTAACAGGATGCCGTGCATCTAATGGAACCCTTACCGGATCCTACGCTGTACATGCCGTGGTGAGTTCACCAGATTTAAATCACCAAAGACTATGTTGGATTTGGTAATTGAGTGGCCCGGCACACGTGCGCGGCCTGTCCTCACACGCGGTGTGGGAAATAAAGATGCACTGTATTCGCCACCTTCACTAAGTACTGATATTTTGCTGGACACCGTCGTGGCGGAAGTATTGTTACGCTGCTTTCCAATCACATCATTATGCCGTCTCAGCATTTCGCTGTTGCTTCCACGTGTTGAACGCGGGTGGCTCCAGCTGCGCACGGAAGGAGAGGGGGCGACGCTGCTGCTGCGGCTGGCCAATGAACCACCGCGACGACTTTTCTGATGGCGTGTTGGTGTCCCGCCGTTGCGTGGCTCTTCTTCACCGAAGGGCACATTTTTGCTCTGAATCGTGGAATGGTTACTCCTCTTTTCATCAATGACACTCGTAGAGCCCAGCGACGACTGTCGATGCCTTGTTGATCCCTCGAGATCCTCAGAACCATACGGCTCTGTGGTGCGAGCAGACGTACATGAAGAAGCTCGTTGCATCATGCGCTCCCGTCGCTTCCTAACGCCAAAGATGTCGTTGTCTGAAGCTGAGAAACTTCGCGCGGGATGTGCAAATCGACGGGAGAGTTTCTGTGGTGGCAGGGTGAGCTTCGGCTGAGTGGACTCGAACTTCTTCACCGCCTCCATGGTCCGGACCCCGTGGCGGGAAGCCCCCACCTCACACAGCAGATCCCGCGATTGGAGATTCGCCCCAAGTTTATCGGCAGGCTTCAAGCCCACCCTCCGCACGCCTGTTCGTGGGGTTTGTGACGCGGCTCGTAATTCTGATTCCTTTGAATTGCCGTCAAACAGACGAAGAGTGGTTCTGCCTGCACTGTAGTTGCCGTGGCGTCGGCCTCTCACTGGAGAAGCGTTCCGTTCTTCAGAGCACAGAACAAATCGCGCTAGCGACCCAAGTCCATCGTCATTTTTCTTAACTGGTGTCGTCGAGGCTTGCGGTTTTGACGCTGGTTCCGTGTCAAAGATGTGACTCTGGTGCATTTTATTCCAGTTCGCGCGGTACATACGATTTCTGACGGGTACCAACTCGGGATCCACGCGGTGCTGCATCTCGTAGAGAAACCGCAGGTCATCCCTCTGCGACAGGTCCAGACGATGCATCTCGGGGCGCATTTCTTTCAATTGTGGCTTCCGGAACAGCAGAGAAAGCAACTCCTCCCGCGACATCTCCTTCGGCCTCTGAGAAGAGCGGCGGGCCTCGTTTTTCCCCCGCCCCTGCGCCAGTCCATTCAAGTTTCGCTGCGAACCGCCGTCAATATCACCACGAGGAGAATTTTTAGCACAGCCGTTGGAAGTGTTGTTGGCAGGGCTTGAAGCCTGCGGATTCCCGTTACCCCATCGGTTGCCCTTCAGACTGTCGGCACGAGAGCGCGATGCGGCAGAAGGCGAAGAACGACCGCCTTTCACCGCATTCACCTTCGAGGACCTCGCGGAGCTTCTCTGACTCGCCCGCTCCATAGAATTCTTCCTTTCGCCGCGAGACCAAACAAGTTCACCAGATATCCTGCTTGAACGCACACACTTGTGGTTTCACGAATACCGCCAATGGAGCTTCTATAAGCAAATACCAATGGTAGCACTACCTCTTACTTGTTTTTGTTAATATTTTGTGCGTATTTTAAAAATCAGGAATAACCCATATATGTATACACATGTGGTGATTAAAACCAATGTGGTGGTGAAAGCCAAACAAAGGAATAAAAGAAAAGAAAAAAAAAAAACATTATCCTGAATGTGACCACAAAAAGGAATGTTTCACGGCAAGGCATGTATTACAACGTTTTACTTTTATTCACTGCCCCCCTCCACGTAACAACAACAAAAAAAAAAAAAAGACATCACACACATAAGCACACACACACTCTCTCTCTCTCCAAAAAAAAATATGCACACATACACAGGTCAGAGGGAATTTCGACGTCTTGTCTTTTTTGTGCTGGCGACAGATTCAGATGATGGGCCATAACCAGCTGCTTCTGCAACAAAGTATTGCAATTGCCGGCGCGAACGTGAGGAGTACCTCGTCGATGACGCAGAAGAATGATTCCATTCATTCCATCGCTGCAGTGAGGTATTCACCATTCCATGCACGCCATGTTGCATGGAGAAGTGAGAGCCATTTGTATCATCATCAAATTCCCACAATTTCATACCACCGGCCAGTGGTGTGCCACGTTGCGTGGTGGAACGACTCACTGCCGAGAGTTCACTCCCTATCGCTGTAGCGGTTGAGGGCAACCCCGCGACAGCACTGCTGCTCCCTTGAGGCACCATTCCAGCAACAGAGAATGCCTCCCCGATGTCCCACCCTCGTGATGAAAGGGTCAGCATCGACGATAGTGGTGGCGGTGCTGTTACCGCTGACGACCCTGAGACTGTCTCAGCGGAGGTGCGCAAAGACAAGAGGCGCAAGTCTGCGGCCAGTGGCTTTTCAGTCTGTATCGCAAACGCTGAGTGACGCGCGCCAATTGCCGGTCCAATAAGCTTCGCCGGCGTAATGCTCGGCAAGTCAACGTACGCCACCCCACTCTCGGCACCATTCCCGGTGTTAGGTGTCACAATTGCCATGTGCAGCGGTGATGTTGGGCCCTCTGCCGTCCGCGTAGGTGAGGTGAGACGCTCCGGCGTAAGATTCCTGGTGCTGGGGTTTGTGGAGGTGCAGTTTACACCTTCGCGTCCCCACGATGGGACCGAACCCGAACCCTCAGTGCTTTCCATGTTACGTGATACAGATGGAAATTTGAGACGAATGCCCACATGAATGCGTCTGGGCTTCCCCAAAGCGTCAAACCAGGTGCCCTTCCAAAGCCAGGATGGGATGCGCATGGGCACGGCAATAGGTCCACTATAATCAGTGATAAATGCCACCTCGTCTTGTACACTTCTTGTAAAGCGTTGGTATTCCAAATGGCTACAATTCACCTCCCAAAATTGAAGCTTACGCAAACCCATAATGACTAATCCAACAATATGGCGACCGTCCAAGCAGTGGACATAAATTGGGTGTCGTTCCACATTAATGAGCAGCTGTAGCACCTCATTCAT